TGGCACACATTAAAAATGAAATTCTGTTGCCTGCTCTCAAAAGTGTACACATACATGACATACATATACACATGCTATATATGTACATAAATATATGCCTATATATATTAATCACTGTCCATTTTGAATATATAGAGGAAAGAGGAAACTTGTGAGTTCACAAGGTTGATGCTATATGGAACAAAACTCTGACTGACTCTAGATGTCCTGCCTTGGATACCCCAAAGCCCCCTCCCAGAAGGTAAGAGGAAAAAGAGGTGGTGAGAGGATGCGCAGCCTCCCAGACCATCCTGTGGACCCTGATCAAGCATCCCTTATATGCCATGTGCTGGAAAGACCTTATGACCAGACCCTGCAATTACAACCTTTGCAGTCAAAAAATCAAAATTCAATCACTTGGCAAGTGGTATATATAGGGTTAGGGTTAGTCCTTCACTTACAACAGTTCATTTAGTGACAGTTCAAAGTTACAAATGGCACAGAAAAAAAGTGACTTATGATCATTTCCCACACTTATGACCATTGCAGCATCCCATGATCATGTGACCAAAATGCAAATGCTTGGCAATAGACTCATATTTACGACGGTTGCAGTGTCCCGGAGTCACATGATCCCTTTCTGCAACCTTCCCCTCTGACAAGCAAAGTCAATGGGGAAGCCAGATTCACTTAACAACTGTAGCAAGTAAAGGTTGTAAAATGGGGTAAACTCACTTAACAATTGTTTCACAGCAACAGAAATTTTGGGCTCAATTGTGGTCATACGTTGAGGACTATCTGTATTTCTAATGTGATTGCCATTTGCAACCTTCCCAGTTGGTTTCTGACGGGCAAAGTCTAAGAGGGAAGCTGGACCATGTGATTCAATTAACAATTGCCGTGAGTTGCTTAATGACTGGCAAAAAAAAGATCATAAAATTGGGCAGGAGTCACTTCACAGCCATCTTGCTTAGCAATGCGAATTTCGGTCTCAATTGGGATCATCAGCTGAGGATTCTTAGGACCTAGTTGTCAGCACTCCTCCATTAGATAATTAGGAAAGGAAACCCACGAGACTCCATTGATAGAAATCAAGTGTACTTTTACTAATTATAAATGATCAGGNGATAGATAGATAGATAGATAGATAGATAGATAGATAGATAGATAGATAGATAGATAGATAGATAGATAGATAGATAGTGTGTTTATGTATGTATCACATACATATTCATACAAATATGATTTAATAACAGACAACTTCCAGGAGAAGCCAGTCTCTTCTCTGTAGTTGATAAGAAATGGAAAGAAATCATGGCATTTGCAGCAGAGACTCCAAATGTTGTTAAGGCAACTACAACAAGTGGAATTTTTGAAATACTGCAGAGCAACAATGCATCACTAGAAAAAATACAGAAGGCTCTTGAGGTAAGTCAAAGAATCTCTAATGTCTGGCAAGGAATCATGAACCACAATGAATAACATTTTGTAAACAGGAAAAGGCAGGAAGCATAGACTAGCTTCAGCACCCTACACGTAGCATTCTGTTGTTGTAGGAACTATAGTTTTATTCCTCTTGCAAAGAGGAATGGTAGGAACTGGGATGCACTTTTAATATTGTGGCCTCTTTTTCTTAGGACATGCCCATAGACAAATGTATTATACACACATACAAACCTGTTAGTCTGCCTGTCTCTTTAGGATTGGCAATTGCTTTCAGAGTAAAATACAAAAAAAAAATACAAATAAGAGCACAATACTGTAAATAATGCAATGATATAATTGTTAACATATTAAATATTAAATGTCTGCCAGAAGAATTAACTAGTTTAACTTAAATTAGCTTCTGATTATATTTTATCTTGAAATCACTAATTGCAAATTGCATTTCAGTACTTTTTAGAAAGAAGAATACTATTATAAAATTCAGACATCTGTGAAATTCAAATTCAACATTAGACTTTAATTCACACATTCATAAAAATGATATGGGTCAGGGTATTCTGGATTTTATAAATTTTAGATTTCTAAAGTACTTCAATGTTTCCAAATTAAATAATGATCCATTTAATTTTTTTATATTGCTATAAAAAAAGTTAAGAACTAGTAGATGAATAACAATTCAATAACAATATGAAAAGTTCTAGCTTATTGTGTCAACCAAAGAATTGTTAGTGGGTAAAGATGACATGTACTGCAGATACATGTTTTATATTGATATTGTATTTAAAAAACCCTATGTATCTTCAATATGAGCATTGGTGTGCTGGAACTGGCTCATAATAGCTTATAAGAGCTGATTGTTAAAATTCACACAGGCATTTTGTGAGCTGTCTGAGAGTATAGTTATACAGTTAGTTGAACTATAATGGCTGACATGATGACTAGCTGTTTGATGACTTGTGATATGGTGTGACTGTCTGCAATGGACCTGGACAGCTGGTTGTTAAATATTTGCCAGCACCTTGTCTACAAAAATTACATAGAACAAGAACTAGAACATAGCCGTACTGTCTGTTTTGAACTAGAAACTGCACTTAAGTGGTTCTGATAAAACTGAAGCCAGTGAAAAACAAGTTCATTATAGAACGTATAATTTTATTTCATTTTACTATTTTTAATTTTTTAAAATC